CTTTTGATGCAGCCCAGGATATGGTTGGCCTTCTGGGCTGCAAGTGCACATTGCTGGCTCATGTTGAGCTTCTCATCAACCAACACCCTCAAGTTCTTCTCCTCAGGGCTGCTCTCAATCCATTCTCTGTCCAGCCTGTATTTGTGCTTGGGATTGCCCCCACCCACGGGCAGAACCTTGCACTTGGCCTCGTTGAACCTCATGAGGTTCACACAGGCCCGCTTCTCGAGCTTGTCCAGGTCACTCTGGATGGCAACCCTTCCCTCTGGCATGTCGACCGCACCACTCAGCTTGGTGTCATCTGCAAACTTGCTGAGGGTGCACTCGATCCCACTGTCCATGTCATTGCAACCACTTATCAACAGCATCATGGTACAAACTAGACATGAGTTTTAGCAAGTTGCATTTCCTTCAGCCTTTTAAGATATTAATAACATTTTTTAAAAACAGTTATGCAGCCTATTTGTATAGGAAGTCCATCAGAAGATGCAATTCTAAGTACAGGTTCTGCTTTCAGCCACACAAGGCTGAAATACCCCTAACAGAACATTACAACATAATCTATTTAAGAAATATTTTTAAAATTAATTTAACTGATTTTCAACTCCATTTATTTAGGACATTTTGAAAGAGGACTCCCTATGACCTTAGACTTTTGCAAGAAACATAAACAAGGTGGCTAGGATCCTTTTTCAGCAGAACTGATTTATGACGTTCTAACAGAAAATTCCAGCTATTAGTAAGCATAATTAGCCAGGAAAGATCCATACCAAACTGAAGAACTTGCAAAGTCGTAAAAGTCCCTGAACTTTCTCCATTCATAGAGGCTAATATTCACTCCTTGAAGAATATGACTACTGTAAATAGAAAACAAAAGTCTAAGAGGCTCTGATCTTGTTAGATTTCTCACTGTTTCTCTTAAATAGAAAATACTTAACCAATAAAAATGTACAAGTGTAATTGCCCAGTAAGACTATACATAGAAGAGATTTAAAACAGAAAAATGATTAGGTTAGGAACACAAGCAGCCATATATATTCCAACTAGGAAAGCTGGGATGGGGTATGGATAGGATTAGTACTAATACAGGTGAAGACAGGTAGAAGACTATCTAAAAGGGATCAGACCTTTTCACATGAAACAGACTGACCTAAGTAAAGGTACTTATTAGCCTTCCTAACCTAGAAGCCACCTCTGCAAACATTCCTCGGTTTCCCCTCATTTGTGTAGTGAACGTGAATGGCACATACATGTCGCAAAACCAGAAACAACATTCTCCACATCCATATGGTCTCCTCTGTTCTAGATCATTTTCGGCAACTAAAACATTGCTATTTTATCAGATATGGGAAATGCACTTAAAACTAGAGATTTTTAAATGGAAGTTCTGTCCAGGCTCAAACACTGAAATAGTGAGCCAGTAAATACAGACCTAAACACAAAACTGAATTAGGAGGCTTTGATGTTTACAAAGATAAATAGGAAGAAATCATGACCAATTCACACAATCACGGAGACTAAACCAGAAAGCAAATAGCTTCGCCTTTAATAAGGTTGTGTCTCTATTGTAAAAACACTACTTTGCTTAGAAAAAACAGGTTTTCTTTAAACTTTACATCTTTTACATTTTCAAGGTGATACAGTGGAGGGATTGGGGGAAGGAGGAAATAAAATGGGTAGCGTTCACAAAACCTGAATGCTTAGAAGCAGCCTTGGCTTCTTACATGAAAGAGAGACTATTACTATCCTTCCGATTTACCTTTTCAAAGTATTTCTCAAATATGCTAAGAAATATCCCTTTTTTCAAAGAAATTATTTTTCACACAAACAAAACAGATCTCAACATAGTTGGCTGAAAATAAGGCATTTCTGAATGTGCTTTACTATGCTTCATTAGGACCAATTGAACAACTTAGAGAAAATAGGCCTGCATCCTTCTGCTTTGGGTACATCATCCACAATCAAAACACATTTATAAAGTGCTGGTAACTGAAAAAAATCTCAGAGTCTTGCCATGCACGCAGCAGTATCCACTCTGAACACTAGTGTTATGACCGAACAGATTTCTGTCCTCCTTCAACTTCTATGTTCCAACACAAAAAAACCCCAACACTTTATCTTATCACAGTGAAAACTTCTACATCTTATCTCTGCATTAATACGATTTTATTCTTCCCGAAAAATCTTCTATCATCTTATCATAAACCTATGAAGGTCAACGTCTAAAGCACTCAATGTTACCAGTGGCTCTTAGGGCTCAGTAAACATGGTAGTGCATACGTTCCTGTGGGCGACATTAATACATACTGAAAGAAGTCAGCATTTTTATGGATTAAAGAGCACAGCAAACTATGACAGCATTGATGCTCAAAAGCAACATGCACCATCAGTAAATGAACTTCGCATTTAATACACTTCTTTAAAAGCAACTCTTAAAAAACTGCATCCAGATGAACAAGCTTTGTACAGGCTCCCTAAATATATACGGTGCCATTATTGCTCAGAAAGGTGACCGATTAGATGTACGATGTTTCTGAAAGCTTGTGAGGGGCTCCAAGCCCCCAGAACACCGAGTGAAAAAGAGCTGTTTCAAGTTTCCACCAGAGTGCCAAAACAGGCACTACCTTTGAATCAGAGACTTAGGCCACAGCAGATCAGTGTGACAGAGGGGAGTTCCTCAATAGCATTATCTACTATTCCTACTCATGCTGAAAGTTATCCTCTGTATAAATGAGTATGCAAGTGAGCCAGGCACAGGTGCCTGTAGGTAGCACAAAGGTAATTTATTTCTGTTTCGCATGCAAAAATGCTGTCCCACAGAGCTGGAAATCTTGCAAGCTGTTCTGTTTTCACTGTATACAGAACCTCATGCATTTAGAAAGAGTTGCTGTTCTAAAATGAAAGTAAGGTGCTTTACATCAGCTTTTTTATTATTATTATTTTGTTATCAAAAACAGTAATACAAGAATTCAATCCCTGCCACGTGAATCCTAATCTGATGCAATCTACATACGAATATAAATCTGGTGGCTATGTGCTGAAGAGGTTTCTTAAACAACTACAGATTTATTTTTTTTTTAAATCTTATTTCTCACCTCCCCAGATTTTGTTTTTGGGGAATTCTATAATTTCATACGTTTAATTCTATCTCCAATTATTTATTTTTTTTTTTTTAAGTATTAAGAAATCAACTTAAAAAACACACTTAAACAAACACTGTTTGCTTTTAAACAAACAGTTGTGGATTTTAGGATTTAGGCATTAAGGCTGAAAATCTTGAACTTGCACTTCAGGTAGTCAATGCAAGGTGAATGGTAAAAGAACAAGATATGTGAATCTTGAGTTCATTACCGCGTGACTTCAACTTCTCTCCAACAGACCGTTTTTTTTTGCAGATAATCAGGTTGTTATAGTATTCCGAGAAATTTTTAAATGAGCTCTTGACAAAGGTTTCAAGAAAATATATTTATTCAGTTTTAGCAGAGGAAGAAAACATAATAAATAATAAGTTTCTTACACCCTTCTTTACAAGATATTTTTACGTTCAAACATCACACTTCTGTTACAAATTTCAACTAGTATTTCAAATTTTAAGACCACATTCACTGAGAAAGGCAAGAACTTTTAATGTTAAAAAATACACAGAGTAAAAGAGTGCAAACGTTTTATTTCTTGTGGCTAGTGCTAAGTGTTCAAGTCCTTTAGAACATCGCAAGATATGTATTAGATCAGCAATATTGCACGCATCCAGTTCGCACGCACAACTATTACATTAAGTGAACAATACAGACTGTAACTTTTCATGGTACGACCTCAATTTGTCTCTCAAATAGCGTCGAAAAAGACTTTTCCAAATTTCTGCAATTATGGCAACACGAGCTTTTTACAAATCCCACACTCAAGTCCTCAGCTGAAGTAAAATGGATCTAAGCTTGAACATCCTCAAAACAAGACAACTACCAGGCAAGTACAATTCCCATTCTGACATGTTTATACATGTCTTCGGAGTGCAACTGATACTTTCTCGGCAGAAGTAGATGCAATTCCATTGGGATTTTTATTTCCATAAACTGCAATTGGGACAGCAATCCCGTAGATTCTGTAGGATGCCCGTAGCTGCGTTTTGACAGCCATCAGGTTGTTAATTTTCTACGTACCATCTATTCAAACCAGTTTTCTTTCAGTAAAAAATGTACAGCATCATCAAATCCATTTTGGTACAAAGATTCCATTTTCTCCTGGTTTGGTGGGAACAAAGCTTGATTAAGCCTTACTAGGTTGGCCAGAGACAGCTGCAACAGAGCGAGAAGCTATAAATTAGTTTAGTAAAGCAACTTATCTAGTCTTGACTGTGTTGCTATCTGTTCTGTCATCTGTTTCATGTAGCATATGTAAAAAGAGAAGACCAGCATGGCTATGTCTACACTAGTAAATTAACCGTGTCCAGGTACACTGCTGAGCGCCAAGACAAACTGGCACAAACAGTCTGCATATACACCATTAAACTCGCAGCCTCCAAGACAGTCTGCCTGCCTGTAAAACTGCCCGAAGTTTCTGAAACATTTTAACTTCGGAAACGTTCCCAGAACTGTCTGGCAGAGTGGTAGCTGGCACATGCTAAACTCGTGCAAGGAAATATTTTGACAGCTTACTTGTGCAAACAACCACATTCTTGGGAACATTCCCAGGCAATGTTTAACATGTTGGTAATACAAGCTACATTTATACGCACAAATTAAGAGCTACTCAGCATCTCAAGTGGTCACCTTGATGGTGTAAAAAGATTTCAGAACTCTATTCTTGAATAAAGACATTATTAAATTGTTTACAACAAAATAAAAAATAATTAGATTTAATAAGGTTCTGAACACTTCATTTGCATGATTAATTTAATACTTTAGCCACATAACTATACACAATTTTGAAAAACAATATCAAAATCATCATTATTTGAAGTAAGCAATTATTCAAGTTGACACTAATAGACGGAGGAGGTTCAAAGAGACAGAAAACTGTTCACATTCCAATCCAGATAAATTAATATATATAATTCTGCAATGTTTAACATGTTGGTAATACAAGCTACATTTATACGCACAAATTAAGAGCTACTCAGCATCTCAAGTGGTCACCTTGATGGTGTAAAAAGATTTCAGAACTCTATTCTTGAATAAAGACATTATTAAATTGTTTACAACAAAATAAAAAATAATTAGATTTAATAAGGTTCTGAACACTTCATTTGCATGATTAATTTAATACTTTAGCCACATAACTATACACAATTTTGAAAAACAATATCAAAATCATCATTATTTGAAGTAAGCAATTATTCAAGTTGACACTAATAGACGGAGGAGGTTCAAAGAGACAGAAAACTGTTCACATTCCAATCCAGATAAATTAATATATACAATTCTTCATTTTATGCAGATTATAATATTGCTGAAAAAAATTTACTCCTAGTTTACATTTTTACAACTCTAAAAGCTAAGGGAGCTTCAAATGGAATAGTTTAAAATGTTGCCTGAGAGTCTGCACAAGTCTGCACTAGTCTGCACTTGCAGGACCCTAGAAGATACGTAACTCTGCAATTAATTTTCTATCTCTAAACTAATCTAATCACCCACTCATTTTTCCTCCTCTTCATGCACTGTATATTAGATACAAATCACAACCAAGAAATATACATTACACAATTGCATATATTTCCAATATATATGAAATCAATAATCTCATGCTTTATGATCATTTACCAAGTACTATCATGCTTAAAATCTCTCTGTGAAAAATTATAAAGATTCAGAAATTGGTCTAATTTAGGATTACATTACTCAAATTAAGGAAACATATTAAGAACTGTCTAAAAGAAACTTTAAAAAAGTATCACCAATTATTGCTAATCTTTACTTTTTCTTTCTGATGGAGTTTTGTTGACAGCTAGGTCTACTGCTATTCAATATTTTTTTCATCATGTCAAAGGAAGCAATACTGTGGTTAAAGTTTGTGAGACAAAGCTTGCAAAGACAGAAATGTCAATGATGAAAAGGAGGCCATAAAAATCAGTCTTAGCCTATATTTCAATACACGGAAATGTTTCTGTAACATCTAACAAAATAACTTCCGGAAAAATGTTGTGGTTATAAATGTTCAAAATCTTAACACAAGCTCTCTTGAGCAATGAGGTGACAAGTCATTGTATACCATCTCAAATGTAGGACAAACTTGTATTTTAAATTCAGTTAGAGTAGCTAATTTCAGTAAGTATGAAGGGACGTTCTGAAGTTTCCCTCTCCTGAGGTATTCTACAGAAGTCTTTTTTTTTTTTTATAAACAATCTTCTGCCTAGCCAAAGACAGCTGATACTTAAAGCAAGTCTAGATTATTTACATTTAATAGCCTGTGATAATTTGCTCAATTTTGTGATAGATCAATGCTTTTCAAGCCTTCTGACAAAATTTATTTTACATTTTCCTTCCCTTGTGTTTAAGAAAAAGTCTACACTCCATTTGCAAAACAGAGAATGCCAAAACATTACTTAAGTTCATATATCCACAGAAAATAAACACTTAAAAATAAGCCTAACCTTAACTGCTCAATTACCTTTTCTTCTCTTGAAGTTATTTAAGAAACAAGCAACTCACCATTATATCTTGTTTTGCAAATTTAACATAAAGATCCACACGTCCTTTATCTTGTGGACAGATATCTAATCGACCGCTGAAAGGAGAAATCGTCACAGTTCTTCCAACAGGCAAGATAGGAAGGCCATTGGTAAGGCCACCATCAACCCACTTCTATCGGAAAATAAAAATATTTTCAAAGTAACCTTAGTACAGTATGTTCATAACTGAATACTTCATCCTTCCTGTCTCTGCCTCCTCCACTCCACCCTCAAGAAAACTTACGAGTTTCCTTCTCAGAATACCACGAATAAGCTTGAGTATGAGGCATAAAAAAAAAAAAAAAAAAAATCATCAAGGAACTGGCAATGTACACACAGAGTGTTTAATCAATGAGCATTTGACATAATGCATAAGTTTGTGTGTAATGTATTTATGAAGCTACTGATACGGCTTGTTAGCTGATTTAGTAACAAAATGCCCCATACAGAATTTTTCTCAACACGTACGTGAAAAGATAAGATTGTTACTATTACATGTGAACCATATCAGATAAAGTATACTCCTCTAAAACATTACTCTGGACAATCTGTATGTGCAGGTAAACTGACTGCACAAGCTAAACCAAATATGACTCCTCTCTTCTTCTTCCAGAGCCTCTTGCCTTCTTACGTATACAACACAAGACAGCAATAGCTGGAAAGTGGAGGGTAAAGGTGGGAAGGAGCTGAACAACTATGGCACATAAGATAGAGCAGACATCAAGTCTGCTATAGGAGCTGAGTAGAGGAAAGACTGAGGAAGAAAAAAAAAAAGCAACCAATGAATTTCTTGCAGAGCCCCACATATTTCTTGGTTCTAAAGGCAGTCTAGGGGCACAAGCCTGATCTTCACAGGGACCATAGCCAAATTCCATCCCAGTATAAGCAGGGACAGCTGTGACATCTCTTTCCAATATATTTTATACATTCATATTTCTTTCTGTGCTTACATGCATAACCCAAAACTCGGCATCAGTCTACTGGCTAGACACATTCACTGACATCATACATGAGGTCTGGTGATCAGATGCATCTCACTGAAGTTTATACATCTACAGCCAAATGAGTCATTCTACACTTCCTTTATCATCAAGGTAGAGAAAACACTTCTAGTACACGATCCACCTTATTCTAAAGTAGGCATTTACATCTGATTTGAACTGTGCTGAAAAAGTGCTTTCTTCTCTTCTTCTCTGCTAATTATACAGGAAACATACATTAACTATGTAAGACATAGACTACTGCAGACACCTAAAGCTAGTCGAAATGCTGTAAGAAATGGTATTATAAGATTCACCTCAATGTTTCTTAAGGGTTTGACCTCCCCAAAGATAAACTGAATACTCCAGGATATCAGCTTCAAGTTTCATTAACACAGAACACTACAAACAAATGGCAAATTGTACTAGTACTCTTCAGCACCAATCAGGCAGAAGACTGCTTTTCTGCTGTAGGTAATACTATATGTGACTGTTATGAAACAGCAAAATAATGCAAGTCTTCCCACAAAATTACTGAAAATGCCACAGGAATTCAGTCACAAAATTTAAAAAAAAAAAATTTCCCACAAAAAGAATACTACTGGGAAGTTGTTTATGACATCTAAATTAAACTTGTCTTCAAACTGTTGGCAAGACACTAGCTTTCAGTGCAGTGACTGCTATACAGGAAGCATTATCTCAGGTTACAGTGTTTGTTCTTCAGAAGCCCCTGAAATTCCCTGAGGTCCATCACTTAGTTGTATAGATCCCTCTCAGCTGTGCCCTTTACTCTCGCTTAAGGCAAACCTCCTTTTAATTCTATAGGTATAGATTTCTCCCAGTGCTACATTTGAGTTCATGCAACCAAAAGACTTTGTTGCCACTTGCCCCTCCTTCCACTGTCAACTCCCATATCTGGCAATACATGGATTTACTCTTGTATACACATGGATATATAGCAAGCGTTTTGAGGGGGGGAGGGGGGGGGGGGGAGGTTGCTTTGTTCCTCCACCCCACCCTCTTCTTCACTTTCTCAGATGAAAGTTGTCATTTCACACTACTTTATGCTCCTGCGCTTAAATAATAAGCTACAAATATTCACATTCAATAGTCTCCATGGACCTTCTCACCCTATTATTTCATAACATGCTTTAGATCTTGACTCTTAACATTAGCTCTTGATGTCAGTATCTACAATCCACCTTCCTCCACCCCACCCTCTTCTTCACTTTCTCAGATGAAAGTTGTCATTTCACACTACTTTATGCTCCTGCGCTTAAATAATAAGCTACAAATATTCACATTCAATAGTCTCCATGGACCTTCTCACCCTATTATTTCATAACATGCTTTAGATCTTGACTCTTAACATTAGCTCTTGATGTCAGTATCTACAATCCACCATCAAAATTCCTTCATTTTCCACAAAAATCATATTTCTCAATGCTTAGGATTGAGACTGTTTTGCCTTAGAAAAGGAGGAAACAAAAAATTCCCAAACCATTTAAAGCTATCTTTCAGACGTCTCAAACTCCATTACACCATTGTTGTGATAACTGTGAGTAAAGCTGCAACATCCCTTAACATTTCTAACACCAAAGCTTCTTTTCCTGTGTGTCTATAAATAGTCATTTATTATTGATTTATATGCAGTGTTCCTTGGAGTACTAAGTGGCTTTTTGTTGCAATTCCTACAGTGACAAGAACAGTGGAGTTCCTGTCTAAGCCAAGTCAGAGACACCATAACAGACAACATTATTAGTCTTTCACAAGTCTAGCTTAGTACTTTACCACTTAAAAGTTCTCCCACTTTTAAAAATTCTGATTATTTAGGTTTTTTCCCCTCTCCTCTTAATGTAACTTCAATATTTATTCAAAAATCAAAACATTTACCAAGGCAAGGGCAATACTTTTTATTAGCACCATCTCTTGCAGATTCTGTTATTCCTGGCTGATATGTCCTCTGTCATTTTATTTTCTTTCAAACATTTGGGAGAAACTGCTTCTCAGTCAAAAATATTTGGCTCCACAGTCTCTCATGTTACACAGTTAAAATAAAATTCTTTTAATTCCATTAACCAATTCTTAAAACATGCTTCTCAGCTGATGAGGCAAATTCTTGGTAACTTCTGAATTAGTTTCTTTTTTGTAAGTACAGTGCAAAGACAGAGAAAGTTCTGAAATAATATGCAATGAAAACCCAACCAGACAATGAAATTAAGGATGTGGGCTGGACCTAGCAGAATCTACCCATTTACCAGTAGATGTTTTTTACAAAGCTGTTATATAAGAACTACAGTGACACAAACTACAGTCTCATCATCAGATACAGTCAACTCAATCATCTGCGGACCTTTATCTGTCTTAAAGAGTAACCTTGCCAGAGATTCAGAGGACACCAAACCAACTCAAAGAAAGATAATTTCACATGGAGCAAGTTTGCCCTGCTGTTAGTGGAAGCCTAGCCCAAGGGCACCTTAAATACCCAGCCCAGGTAAAAAGCTAGTTGAGGCCATTAACAGACTATAAATTCCCAGATGTTATTTTATACTTATTTTTACTATACTCAAATATAAATTTGAGTATAGTAAATTCCTATACTATAAATTCCCAGATGTTATTTTATACTCCCTTTTCCTTCAGATTATTTTTAGGCTCATCAAACCAGGAGGAAAACATACTATGAACAGACTGATGTTATGCCTATGCTACCATGCAATTTAGCTTATTCACCCCAAAAGTCTAGCCTCCAAGCATGTGTACTACAGGTATGCTAGCTAACTCCACTGTGAGCCAAAGGCTTCCCAAAAAGCATTCTTCCTAAAAAGAAAACTAAAGTGCAATGCTGGGAACAGTTCACCCTAGGGTTCACTCTCTATAGGCAGTATGGACAGGCTAGCAACATTTTGGCCATTTTCTAATACTATTCCAGTAAAACTGCACCATACTCCCTTACGTATCATGCAACACATACCTCAGATAACATACTGAAATACATTTCAAAAACATTCCCAGATGACCTGGTGATAGCTATGCAGGTGATGTATGTAGCCCAGAGAAGATCCAGACCAACTGTTCTGAAGCACAGATCAGGCCAGCAGACTCAGGCAGCTAGCAGGGAGTAAGCTCAATTCCATGTGGAATTTACTCCCTGAAACTAGTGTAAATGCAGACAGACAGAACTTTGGTCTGTTACAGTAAAGCTTTCAGGAAACTTGGAGTATCATGCTAATATGATAGGTGGTCTCACAGAGCCAAATCAATATCCAGTCCATCTGCCTGACTTCAGTGCTTACCATGTCTGGATCATGAGGTTACATGCCATGTATCTGGCTCTACACTGCACGCTTTAGGGCCCCTATTACCCACCCACATATCCTCATTACCCACTATTCCAAGCCATGGAAACGCCATTGCAATAGGAATCCTACAGTCTTTGCACTCACCCTGCTTTAAGTATTTTGGACTAAAGAATGGAAGTCACATTCATCTACGGGCAACAGTAGTCTCAAAAAAAAAAAAAAAAAAAATTCCCCAAACCACAAATCCACTGTTTTACAGAATATGAGAAAAGTCAGTGCAGGCATGCAGAACTAATCATTCCAACAAATAACAATAAATGAAAGCAACCTTCTCAGAAACTGCCTTTTCTAAACCTCACTTAAGGAGAGTTGTAAGGAAATTTGGGAATGACAACAAGCTTTTACGTAACAGAAGAACCAGTTTCCGTGAAACATTCATTGACTTCACTTCTGAATGCAAAAAATAAAGTTGGGCAGGAACGAGAACTGTCCACTAAGAAGAGGCTGCAGCTGTTTCAGTAAATACTACAATACCCAGGCAAATCATAATAGCAGTGTTCATCCAGTAAAATGGGTTTTAATTAAGTTTTGGACAAAACTCTGAGCCAACTTTTCAATTTCTTAATTGAAAGAACAACACAAGAAATTTAACAAAGACACTTCCTTCCCTTTAACTAACGGCAGAATGAACCTAAAACAACCATGTATGCCCCTTGAACTGCCCAAGCAACATATAAAGACTCTAATCAACAAAATTTCCAGACCCTGGGAAGCTGCAAGCAATCTCCATTTAACACAAGCAGTCAGGCAATACTGACTTAAACCCTTCAAACATTTTAGCTTGTATGTGTTGCTGTATACGCAATTCTAAAGCTGACAAGCTTTCTGACATAACGAACTCCAACTCCCTCTTCCTAGAGACAAATGCATATGGTTTTGTGGGGTTTTTTTTTGCAGGGCGGCTGCGAGGATTATAGATGTTCTAAGGGCATCATTTGGATGTGTGTGAGGAAATAAAGGAAAGAGTGTCATGTAGTATTTCTCAGAAAGAAAAAAAAATGTCTATTTTCATGCTTCTAGTAATTACAAACAGACTAAACAGTCAAAATTATTCTTGAAATGTTAATATATTTATGTAAGAAACACAAAAAAGTTCCTGAAGCTAAACCAAGTACAGGCAACTGTGAAAAGGTTTTCTTATAGTAGTGTACACCTCTGAAAACTTCACAACCGTGTGCTACAGGGAAAAAAAAGTTTATTCTTTAATGTTTGTCCAGAGGTAAGACATTTGAAGGTGCCTGGTAAGAATGTTCTCATGTTCTGTACAGAATTACAACACATACGTAGACACACACATGTACTCCAGCAGCGTCCAAGCTGCCAAGACCTCCCTTATCATTCCTTCCATTAAACAGAAAAGCAGAATGGTGGTCCTTTAAATTGCAAAAAAACATTTTAGAGTTGGTAACAGCTTGTTGCGAGAAGCATCTTTACTACGAGAAGCTTCTTCTCATAGTAAGCATTAGACATCTTTAGGAAACAGCTTCATGCTACAAAGATAATTTCAGTCTCAGCACCCGCAATTTTTGAAACAACACATGAACAAACTCATGCCATCCTTCATAGTGTTTACAGTATCAACAGAAACAGTAACTATTCTACAAAATACAGCACTGCAATGCCCACCTACCCTTCCCTAAGATCAAATAATTACATCATAAATGAAGAACGCTCTTACAAAAAAAAAAATAAAGTTGGTAGTTAAACTCAGTGAAAAATTACCTCTCCTTTATATTCCACTGGCTTAATTCCTGCATATACTGGTACAAAACTACTTGCTAGCAGGACCTAGAGAAAAGAAAGGAGAAAGAATAGAGAACAAAAGTGAAGAAAAGACAACAAAGTAATTCTGAACCAATACATAATTTTCATACATATTCATCTGTATTAAATAATATACTAGTAACCAGTTAATATATTAGTTTTTCATGAAACCATGGTCATCTCAAAATGTCTTGTTTTTGTGGTATGTCAAAATGTGATTAAATCTATTCAGTAGGGTTTGGGTTTTTTATGACTTGACAGTGACAACTCTGAAAACAAAATATCACAAATTAACTCATTGATTAGTGTGATTCAAAAGAGTATGAACTTAGTCTTACACAATGTGAAGTAAGTGTATGATTCTTCAGAAACTAAATATGCATATGCTGAAAAAATGCCATATAGAGTATTGTCAAAGAAGAAGCTGACCCAATCATTCTGCTGGCATATTAACATAGTGTTTACTCTTTTGATCAGGTTTTCTAAGAATTCAAAATTTCCAGAATACTATAAACAGCCTGAAAATTCACAGATGTGTATCTTTATCAGTAACAATACTTTGCATTTAATACATTCAAGTATTAACAAATTACTATTTGTCCTATTGTAAGCCTACATTGCTGTCTATGTCTAAAAGTTCTCAATTTTTTTATTTTTTTTTTTTTAGACCAGGACACCTCTTCTGTCAAGTACAGATGTGCACACACACATATCTTACTATCCACTCTTAGTAGTATCTATGAGCGTGTGTGTATCTCTACACCTATGTATCCACCCATATATATATATATGCAATTAGTATACAGCATTTCAAAGAGAAGGGGTAGATGTGTGGATTAAGTGCAATATGTCAGAAATTTTCATCTAGCTAAACGTGGAGAATATGCATGCATGTGCTTGCATGGCAGCATGAGACACAAATCTGGGGAACAGAAGCAGGTTACAGACTGGAGTAAACACTATGTGAAAGATGATCAGGTGCAAAAAAACCCACAATACATGGAGATTATGGAAGAAAATGCCTGAGCTATTTTTGGTAGAATTGCATTTATTTTTACAAGAAATTAAGCTACTTTCAGTATTAAGCTACTTTCAGTATTAAACACCTCTCCTCCCCTAACAAGTTTTAATTAAGACTCTATATGGAGTCTTTAACTTTCACTTCAAGAACTCTTTTCTTGCCTATTTCTCTTCCCAGTGATCTAAAGCACCAGAGCTTTGTCTGAGCTCAGGTAAAAAGGCTTTCTCTTCTTATTTTCCAAATGTGAAACTCTAGCTATTTCTCTACCAGAGAGGCCTTTCCCTCACAAAAGCGTAAGATAAGGTCCCCCTTGAAACCACTCCTCTCCAGATTTTCAAAAGAGACATCCTCCAGGGTTCCCAACATCAGCTTCTTCCCCTGCCCAACTCCCTTTCTCCTCTCCTTCAACTCCATCTCAGTAACTTTGGCCCTTCTAAACTAAGAGAAATGGGGACAAAAGGTTTAGTGAAGGAAGAGTCAAAACCAGGTGACCCCTGCAACGTGGGAATTCTTTTCAAGAAGACTGAAGAAAGCAGTTGGCCCTCCTTATAAAGTCACTTCGATCTCAAGAGCGAGGTGAGGAAGGACAAGTTTGAAGAACTAACACTTTCAGTATTTCCCTACCACTAACAGACCACTGTGGACTCCTGTTCACTGCTCCCACCTTTCCAAACTTAATACAACAGTGTTCTGTGCTCTGCTCCCTCACAAACATACAAATCATGCCTCTCTGCCCCCTCACCTCCAGTTTAAGAACTGCAAGTCTAGGAACGCTGGTACGTGATGATTGTCTTCTAAAGACTATTTCAAAAGTGGGAGATTATTAACCGCCTTTCCACACTCACTGGGAATAGTAAAAGAAAATAAAAGCTTAAAATTGTAGCAACATATATTCAGTTTAGCCATTATGAAAAACTTTAGAACCATAAGGCTTGTTAAGCATTGAAACCAAATGCATATGGAAGTTGAAAGACTTCTGGCAGAGGGTACAGAAGCTTTGCTGTTATAAAACACTGTTTGCCCAGCAGTATCTTTATCCATGCCTTGGATACAGCAGATCATGTCTAAGGAAGGTGTAATACGATTACATAACCTAACAAGCTTCATCCTCCATGCTACCGGGGCAGCTACCAACATTCAGGCTGTTGTATAAATGATACATGCATAGCTGAAGGCATACACAAAAACAGGTATTACGAGATGCACTGAAAGAACAGACAATATGAATGTATTCCAATGAGCAATTATTTGGAATTTTATTATTCCAACCCATTCCACTGCTAGCATATGGAACAAAAGAACAGAAGTGGTTAAGTCAAGAAAGAACTATTGAAATACTAATAAAATATATGTATTTCCAAGGTCGTCTTGAAGTTTCTAATTGTCTTCAGGTTAGAAGATTTCACTGCAAAAAAACATAAATCTACAGAATAATAATCTCCATGCTTGTCACTGCTGGCTACCATAGCTAGAAATAACACTGCATAATTTGACATAAACTTTTTGCATAATTATCTTTGCATTATTAAGCCCTACACATTTTGAGAACTGATTGACCCTGTAGAATATAACAGGGTCAAGATTTTAAGAAAATAATACTTTAAAGGCAAGCTTCCAATGCATACTTTGAGATTTTGTTAACAAGTGTGATTCTTTTTCTTTAAGTGTTAATTATAAGGGATCTCTTATTTATTCTAAGCATCCACAGGGATAGGGAAAAAAGGAGCTCATTCTTATTCTATTTCCTCCTTTATTCTGCTACATCTTATGATCTCCTCCAATATATAATCAGTTACTAGAAAGAACATTTGCTTTACATGCATCTGAATTCATCCTACAATTTACTATCAGTTTTTGTATACAATCCTGATCCAAATTTAAAAAGTGGCATTCAAAAGAAAAGAGATAGGCAGTAAAAGATAAGCTTTCCAGTGACAGTTAAAATACAGTTTATATATGGTACTTAACATTACATCGTATCTATTCCCCACAAGGACTTGTAGAAACTGTTGGATTTTTTTGTTTTTTTTAAGACAGGAACTTTAATTACGTTCTTTTGTGATGAAACATAATATAAATGGTATCAGTGAAATAACAGATGCAAAAAGACCTCAGCGAATTGTTACAAAATTTGGAAATCCTCTATTTTATTCTCATCTACTGTAACCATTAGTTACCCTGAACAGACTTTGCCTACAAAGTAGAACTTTAAAAACAGATGAAGGAAACACACACAAAGTAAGTTTTAGCAAAATTTGTGAAACTGCAGGATCAAATTCTGCTTCCATTGTTTAAGTTATGGTTGTAGCATCACTGATAGTATAGTATAGGTGATTATTTGAGTAAAACAGTGATTTATTGTACAGCTAATAACATACTCCTAAACCTTAAAGAAACTCAAGCATTTTTATTTAAAGGAGCAGTATTCAACTTCATTACCTTAATGAGGTCCTCCCTCGAGGCAAAACTTGAAACCAAGTGATTTTCCCCATTTTTGGTGTTAGTGACTGACACATAGAGCCGGTTCTCAGCTATCTCATGAGCATTAGAAGGAAGAATAGACTCTATGCCTTCCCTAGAGTAAAGAAAATGCTAAACATTATTCACCATCATTATTTAAAAACCTTACAAATATGTTAAGGGTGAAAGAGTGCTGAGCTCCCCACAGAAAATATATGCACACTCTCCATTTTCATTTAGGGAGCTTCACACAAAAATGATCTTACAGATGCATTAAGATAAGATAGGTACCTAAGCGTTTTCATAAAATCATAACCAGGTGTTACAGCACCGAAGTCCAATTTTCTAACTTCCTCTGCAAATCCATAGGCAAACTGCTTACACTTCTGCAAATTAAAATATTCACCATTAAGGATGTTTTAGTTATGGGAAGTATGTTCAACTGTAGTATCTGAAACATACTAGCAGCTAAAGGTTTAATCAAGAGAGAGCTGTAAGATCCGACAATATTTTCCCATATATGCTTAGTTTGTAACAAGATATGCATAACAAAATGTTGATCCTTTTATAAGAACTAATTTGTAAGAAAAGAAGACCCCTAATTAAAAAAAAATAATAATAATAAACCCTCACAAGAACACCACTTTAACAATCAAGGGAAGTTAAAGGCTATTTTTCTATGTATTACCACTGCTAAATAATCAGTTCTCTGAACCATGTCATTAGACAAAAGAACAATCATTTATATTTCAAGTGTAAAGCCACCTTTTATTTTAAAAACTACTTCAGTACCAAAACCAGACACAAGTACCTTAAGATGCCTATAAGCATTAAAAAAATTAAAATTATTACACTTTATTACATAAATAGGTACTTATCTATAACCCTATAAGCCTCCCTAGAATTTTCAAGTCCCATGCCTTTTCAACAGTGACAAAAATCCAAGATACGACTGAAAAACATTTGCAAACTGTCATATTAGAACAGCAACAGTCAAAACAAGAAATCCTCAATGTTACATTCTCTCCAAGATAAGGAAAGGTTGTATTAGAGCTTTGAGACTAGGAGATGGAGAAAGTCCTAATTACAGCTTGTCTAACATAGACATCTCTGGGGAGAGGGAAAAAAAAAGAGAAAAAAAAAACTGATGTAAGAGTTGTATTTGTGGACATAAAATATTTCAAGTTAGAAATGTAATAAAGGTGGTAATAAAATTATCCTGATATGAAAAGTTAATTCTATTCAGTACACCACACTACCTTTACTTAAATTCCATGAGAATTAGGAAGAATTATCCCCCCCAAAAAAAATAGTTCTCAATTTTCAATTTAAACAATATAACAGAATGACTAAAATGTAAATAAAAAAAGAAACAAAAAAAAAAAACCCTAAAAAGTTCCTGAAACACTCTTCAGTTTGTATTAAAATGACATATTTTTCAAGGAAAAAAATCCATCAGACTCAATGTAATATAGGCTTAGTTTCCACTAACATAACAAATAAAAACTCTTCTAATATTTTTATTTAGAAAGATTTTTGTAAGTTGGACCAGGCTGGGAACAAATGCTCATACCCAGAGCCTAGAATAAGCAGAAAAATTTCCTTGAGCTAAGAAAAGGCTAGCTGCTGTGTCTACCGTATAGGAAATTAAAGTCAGAGGTATGCATTATACCAGGCAAACTTGAAATTGAACTACTAATCAGAGGCTACAGAAAAGGAGTAACACCTGAACAGAATACAAGTAAGGTTCTCTTTACAAGACAGTGGAACTGTCCTAATACCAAATCATATAAAGAATGCACCTGGGGGCTGGTGGGGTGGAAAGAGGCCAGGGAAGAACTTACTGCTGAAAGCAACAGAAGTATAGCTAACTGCAAGCTAAGTTCATATCACAGCAGAAACAAACAAACAGAAAAATCAGTGGCAAAGTGTGGTATTGGCTGGGACTATTGTTTGAATCAAATGCAGTGAAAGCTGTAAAAAGCAAGGCCCGGAAAAAGTTACCTGATACTCACTGGTCTGAAACCTAAGTATACTTATAACAAAAATCTAACAGCCTTTTTTTCCCCCCACAATAATGCTGTTTATTATAATTCAAAATATTAAAGAAATATTAACATTTTGGCAAGGCCTAGTCCTCTACATATATTAAGGCAAAGTCACTACAGGCACTTCAGGAGGGCAAAGCAGCCTTAACCTAAGGGGAAAAACAAACAAACAAAGACAAGCTAATGCTGTCCCACAGAGCCTGTAAGAATAGTCACTGAATATTACTTTGCTGTCTGTACATGACACCACACCCGTGATGAGAAAAGGGTGGCATCTCTGGAGAAAAAAACCCAAACACACAGGTATGCAGCATGTCAGAGGATTAATTCTCCCTGGCACACAGTGGGGCTACTGCTGTTAAGTCGTGAACTGTACAGAGTCTAAAGGAGGTGCACAAGCCACTTCTTGCACTGTCTAATGGAGTACAGACATCAAGGAAAAAAATTGAGCCGGTGTGCGGTGTTCTTTGACTTTATGAAGATACAGCCCATCTACCATTTGCATCTCCTTTCACAAAAGGATGAAAGGATGGTGCTATGCATTTGCTTAACAAAGTCTACCTCTAGTCAAGAAACAATGATTAACTTCATAATGTACAGCGAGATTAAGTGCATATGTATTTTGGTATATTAAAGTATATCTGGTTGCATACAGCTCAACATTCACACACATGAACTTTATATTTTAAGCTATGTAAACATAAAGTTCATATGACGGACTTTTGTCATAAAGAAATACTTCCTTCATAAACATTTCTGCCCATGAGTCACGGCTTTTGTTAATGAAAACACATACACGAGTCCTATTGCCTTACAAGAAGCAAGAAGAAAAACAAGAACCAAAATATTTAAAAAAACTTAATGGTAGATGATTACATCAAAAATATCCTTCGAAAATGATCATGTCCTATACCTACGAGTTTATTAATTTACCTCTATATTTTCTGGTACTGCTAATAAGACAGTGGCAGCCAGTGATCCCGCAGAAGCTCCCGCAAAAGCTTTCACAACTTTCAGTAACTTCTTACCATGCCTGTAAAAAGCAGCTGCTGCCCCCAAGTGGTAAATACCCAGAAACCCACAAGCTGCAAATGACAGATTGATATGTTTCATTTTTGCTGTGGAAATAAAGTTTCACAGTCAGAAAAAGGATCAGTTACTATTATCTTATAATATACATCTATTTTTTTGCACGGAACATATAATAAATTATATCCATGTAACAAAAAGCAGTTTATTTAAGAACAGTAAAAACTTTTGATTACCAAATACATCAAACAAGCACCAGTTAGTTTAGCATCTCCAAAATTGAAAACAACTCTAAAATACTCCTTAGCACAAATGCCTTTTTCAACCAAGAAATATATATGTATCTCCATATACAACATAAGTGCATATTTTCATCTAATTTGTCAAAGAAATACAAAATAAAAGTAGCTACTCAAAAGTGATAAAAGAATGCTGTTGGAGAGCGAACGCTGTTAGCCACCTACAGTAAAAATCAAGTTAATTATAAAACTGCTGGCTACTGTGTCATCATACTCCCCTTACACACACACAGCCTTGAACCCAATATAATTCTCTAAGAAAGCAATTTTTTCCTTCACCTTTGGAACGCATTTGCTTACTAGTATTATTAGTAATCGTTAATAGACAAATTCTTATTTAAAGTCATTTCTTATTTAGAAAAGAAAAACACACAACATATCATTGCTACTATTAAAATAAGAAGGAATAAAAAAAACACTGAAGTAAAATACAAAGCACTAAATGTATGAAAACACACACACACACTGTGAAGGTGTCAAGGATAGAATTTAAATCTCACAAAAAACACAAACAGGAAGTGTCTAAGTTCAGATCCTTAAGGGCAGTTTATTAAAAAAAAAAGGCTGTACATTTTATTAGCTTTTCTGTTTCTGCAAATAACTGCAATTATGAGAGCAAGCTTATAGATTATATTGTACAGATATACAAGATATTGTACATATTATCTTAGTATTGAATTTAAAATAAACTCCTACTATATTGGGTATGCATCAATATGAATGGGACTAAAAAAAAAAATCAGTATACTTGATTTTTCTGGTTCGTAATGAGATAGCTGATGAGATGTTTCTTTTGGAAAACATCTACAGGCACTGCGGTATCAGCTCTGATGAAGAGAGGCAAACATGTACAGCAACAGATTTTGGTTTAAGTTGCCTCTTCAGCTCAGAAATGGGAAGAGCAGGAAAGATGAGGATAAGAAACAGCTTTCAAAACCATTAGATAAGAAGACATGCTAAACTCAACTGCTTTACCCATAAGATGATTAAAATCAGACCACAAATGGGTCTAACTAGGTTTACTATTTTCCTTTTGGGAAAAAAAAAAAAGAAAAAAGAGAGAGAGAGCGCATCTCATAGTGCCAGGGCATACTGTTTGGTTCATCAGTCATGCTGCTAAAACGCTACACTATCATAAGGTAGTTTACCAACTGCACTTTACCCCCTTTACGCTGGAAACGCTTGCGTATCCACTTGTAAGTATGAATACCTGTAACTTATATCTAACACATTTGTACTGATAGAAAGGATTTCAGGTTGGCACTTGCTGTGGCAATATGAGAGAAAGGCATTTAGAATGAAGCAAATGATAAATCGTGTTCCTACTTTTAAAAAGAATGGATCTTTTAATTTAAAGAAAAATCACTGTACTGCATAGAAGATAAAAAAAGTTTATGCAAAATTTTACTGGAAAACAACGAACAATTCTACTTTGAAGATTTTTTTTTTTTAGTAGAGTGGAAAAAAATCTACAATAGACTTTGAAGTATGATGCCATGATGTGCCTTCTTTCAGGCTAGTTAAACTCTCGGTAGTTTAACCAACTGCTGCAGCTGTTTCCATGCCTTCTACAAATTAGGAACAAAGATGCATTTGCATGACTGGCCACTCTGACAAAAAGGTAAAGTTGGTTAAAGCAATTGCATTATTAAGTAGGAAGAAAAGCAAGCATGGAAGAATTAAATCCCATTTTTGTCCAAAAGAGATTTCAGGCTCAAGACACTACTAATGTGAAACATTATATGAAATAAGGACCATGTTTATGTCGTTGATTGGTCAGAAAATAAACAAGCAAAGTAAGAGTTCACAAATCCCAGGAATTATGTCTAAGGGACCTACAAAATGTAACTAAGAAACACAAGTGTAAGATAATAAGCTTATTTAATAAAAACAAGCACATGTATGCTTATGTACATATATATATACACATCTTCTAAACCTTCTACAAGGCTCATCTACAAAGCATTCTAAAAGGTATCTCTCCCTGCTGGAAAATACTTAGATGTTCACAAATCAAAAAAAGATGAAAACTAAAAAGAGTATCTAAAGCATAGTTACAGCAAGAAATTTTAGATTAAAGGATTTTTTTAAAAAGAAAAAAAATCCCTACAAATGTAGAAGACAATCACACTTCAATGTATAAAGAATTGGCTGGTTGGTTTTGTTTTCTCTAAAGTGACAAGAACAGAAAAGGAGGTTATGTGAACTGAAGAGATTATTTGAGTCTCAGATCAAAACCTACTGAAAAATATACCGACTAAAGTCAGCCTTCTCTTAGAAGGCTTCCTAAGGAAGTTTTATTTTCTTATATGAGCTTTAGTCCTATCTAATTATCAGTTATTGTGAGTAACCACTGTTCTCTTGAGTGTCTGGATACATGGCATTCACTCTTTGATGAAAGAGTTAACACTTGGATCCCATACTTCTCTTTCTTCTTCTTCATTCCCCTACCCAAGAGACAGAGATTACCGAATGAGAATTCACATCAGTTTCTTGACTGACAAAAGGATTCAGTGAGAGACAAACATGCAAAAAGGAAAAAGAACACTAAGATTTCAAGTAAAAGAATACTGTTAAAGAATGCTGCTAGTCTCACACTCTGTTAAGAGTAGACTAATTTCAAGTCCAAAGAGATGAAATCAATACAATCCAAAAAGGAGTTAATTTTTTTTTTTTTTTTTTAAAACAAAAGTACTTGATCCACTGGATTTGTATGGCATGAAATACAGCACTGTTTTACAGATTCTGCAAGAGAACTTCAAATCAAAAGTAGCAACAGCATGGCTGTGTTATCAAGTCACTACACTTTTATTAATTAGGGTCAATTCTGAAGTCTACGTTATGTATTTGTCACGTATAAATGAAATTTAAAAATACTTCAGTACAAATGTTAATTGGCAGATGACATTCAGGTTCAAATGGCAGATCCAGTGGTTACATCTAGCCGCGTGACTGAGAAATGGGTTTTGCACACACATGTAACAACCCTACAAGTGGGTAAGTAATGAGAGAAAAAATAATCATTGAATCATAGAATAATTCAGGAGGTCTCTTGCCCAACCTTCTTCTGCTCAAAACAGGGTAGCTATTGGATCAATTTGGGTTGCTCAGGGCTTTATCTAGTTGTTAATTGAAAAATCATGTTTATGATTTTTTTTAATGAAAAATCATGTCCATGTTTAGCTCCTAACTGACAGCTAGTACCTGTTGCTGGGTGAAACAATCAGGTCTTCTTTCATTTGTTCAGAATATTAAAATCAGTAGAGTATTGCAAATAATCAGCATTACAGAGAAGAAACAACAGAACATTAACATCTTCATTCAGCACTATGCATCTACCTGCGGGGAGGTTCTGTACATTGAATTGAAGGCCTCTTACAACAAATCTGTAACAAAGCACCTAACCTACAAAGAAGATACAGATGAATAAGAATCACGGTTCTATAAGGAACTATCTGCTTGACAGATGCAGTTAAGCAATGTTGTTTCACCTTGCAAAGCAATCTCTGAGTAAGAGGAAAAGATAAGAAAGCATTCATTAGATGAATGTCCTGTAAAATCAGAAAAGCAAGAAATAGGAAACCAAGATACTCACTTTTATAAGAATATAAACTTTCCCATTTCTTTTGATTCTTGCAAATATGTCATGGCAACACTTGATTTGCAAGTTAGAATGGCATATTTCAGAGACAGTATGATTCAAAAATGTCTTTTGCTTTAGTGGTTTGGTAGATCACTGCTCTTTTGATCAAAAAGAATAGTAGGATTATAACAACTCCCAGGAGGACATACAGAGAAACTTAATTAAGTCTACAGTATGACTATTCCCTGCCAATTTTTCACAGAGTACCAGAAATAGGAGCACAGTCACATCTGGACATAGACCATTCTTTCAGCTGCCTGAGCAAACAGCAGAAATCTTGCTATCTTAGAAATGATATGAAACACTTGTTCCACAAGACTTCAGAACAAATATTCTTAGAGGGTTTAACATAAGTTCTGACTGTTAAAGATATTATCTATTAACTCAAAGTTATCATATTGGCATGTGTTAAGAAAAAATTTCAATGAACCTTAAAAGATGCAGAAGTACATTTCAGCTGGACAGTGCACACACTGTAGAGATATGACGTAAATAGGACATAGCAAATGCTTTTGCCACTGCTTTTCAAAACTGTCATTTTACATGATTGGCAAATTTCAAAATATAAATATTTTAACTGGCTAAGGGGATAGGTATGCTTCTGTTGTCTACAAGAAAAAACAGAAGCATAAGAAAAGATAAGTACAAGAAGAAACTAGAAGGACACCGGGGCTGTTCAATCTCATTACTTTACAGATAATGCAGGAGCATTCAGGAATAAACATAAACCTAAGAGTTCTATTGAAACAATTCTCGCATCTGTGGAAAAAAAAAAAAATAAATGCACTGGTGATCAAAAATATACTGGGGGGGGCGGGGAGGCATTTCTGTTTACTCAGCAGTATCTCATCCATTTGTAATGCAAACTTACAAGAGAATGTACGTAAGGATACAAGCCTGTACAGCAGAATTGTGATATAGTACAATATAACTTTTTCAGGATAGGTACTGTCTTCCTAATTGTCATGCACAAGAAATAGCACAACAGTTTCTCATACTGCTGTTTCCGGAGCAATGTAATTATATGAAGACTATACAATCTCAGTGCCTTAACCAGTCATAACTACCTCCCTGTCATCCCATTCATAAACAAAAGCTGAAAATGCCCAAAGCAACTGACTAAAAAACCTTTACACAAAAATTAAATATACATAAAATGCGAGTGACCAAGCACCCTGAAGCACAGGAGCTAAAATGTATGACGCTTAACAGCACATTTGAAGATTAGTTATTAGCTAGGAATGACAGAAAGAACTGTTTAGCTAGGCAGCATTGCTAAAATAAATGTCATAATTGTAACTACTAATTTACCTGAATCAGAAATCACCACTCACACAGGAATGTTTAATTGTTTTTTTCATGTTTATAACAGAAAAAAAGTTCACTAGCATCACAGAGCATTCGTAGCCTTCAGTGAATATTCAAGAAATTGATTCTCCCAGTCAAAAATAGGTTCACGCAAAATAATAACCCATCCAACAGATTATACTCAAGAGTCACCTCTAGATTTGCTAGCAAGAGAACGGGAAAACTAAGTTTTGCATCTATCCAGTCACACGGAATAAGCGTTGTAAGAGTTTAATGAAGTTGAAGGAAAAGAAATTAAAATAATAATACAAAATAATCAGTACACAGTCCAATCAGCCATTAAGACACTTAGGAAAATTACAAGTCTTTGCAAACTATAAAAATTGTGTATAATCCCCTTAAAAAATAAACACATCACATGATACAAAACTTTCAAATTAAGAGTTTAGACCATCTTGATTATTAACACAAGATGTCTAGAGCGGACAGGGAAGGCTGACTTCTTAAGAAGAGGGTGGCAAAAGGTTCAATACCTTCTAACGAACGTTGGCTTCCATCACATACTCCACTGCGACTTTTTCCAGCAGCTATTTTAGTTCCCTCTGCACTAGTAGCCATTCTTGTATCTACTACCAATCGTCTGTCATTTACCTTGGAAACCTACAATCATACAGTCAAATATTACTATTTAAAAAGGGAAACAACAGGCAAATATAAGATGAACATTATTTAGCCTTAAACAGAATAATAAAGTCAATTAAATAGTTGTAAAACCATCTAGATGAATTTCTCAATTGCTTACCCCCCCTAAACTAGTTGAAACCACAATGTTCTAGTATATATAAAGTGCATGCAGCAACTTATATTTTAAAGATTAACTTAATTAGACATCTAGAAAACGAAAAACATTGCCATTTGGAACTGCCAGTGTCCCCGATTAGCCTTCATTTTGTGTCCTTTCCCACTATTTTTGTTTATATCCACAGATTTTTTTTTTTTATAATCAAACTCTCATGTTTTTATCCTCCCTTACTGATCCAATAAAGACTGACTTTTTTTTTCCCCCTTTTTTGTGCAATATTGCGTTAGTAAACAGTTTTCCAGAGAACTCTGGTCCTATTCTTCACTAAATGGCTGCCACTCTAACAAATAAGCCTGTCAGTTATCATGCAGTATTGTCTGAAGTATAATTTGAAAAAAATTAACGTTTCTCCCCAACTTAGAACTATCAGACACAAAAAGTTCATTCTGAAACACTGGTTCTCCTGCAACTTCTTGCTGCCTGCCCCTTTACCCTGATAGGCATCTTCAATTCATAAGTAAGTCTGCAAGATCAAAAGCTTAGCTCTGAAGATTCTAGAAGAAATATTATCATCAAAATACTTACCTGGAATTTAACTCTGTTACGTGGCGCTTTTATGGTGCAATAGTTTAGAATTCCAATCCAGAACGGTTGAGTTTTTGGAAACATGCAACTACACAATCTGCATTCTTTCAACTGAAGCAACAGTATTTGAGCACTACAAAGGCTTTTAGCAGTCCACATTTTCTTAAAAGCGACCTCTGGATCCAGATGATGTGGTAACCAAACTGATACTCTCAGAAGCTGTTTTACCATGGAGTTACGAAGGAAGTATCAATAGATGAGCTTGGACACCATAGAAGTACACAGTAGAAACTTCCTCTCTTCTAAACATAACCTGTTCAAAAACATTAAGGGGAAAAAAAAAAGAAAAAACAATAAAGAAGAGCAGTTGAAAGGTAGTTGCACATCAAGGCCCTGACACTGTAGCAAGGACCTCTTCACAACCCTCTCACGTTTAGCTTTCAAGGGATCACAACCTAAAACACAGATGTGTTAACAGCTGATTCATTTGACAATGAAACAGTTCTAGGCAGAACTTTTGTTCAGTAGCTACTGTCTCTCTCACCAGCCTCCATCTGGCAGCCTGTTGCTCACCACCAACCATAAAGTCAATTGTTCATTTCAGAAACAGGAAGGACTTAAAAGTGTTAATAACGCAAGGAACAAGTGAACAAACTGTCCCTTATAATTAACAACATGAATATGCTGTTCCTTCTACCTCAGCTGAAAAACGTGCAAGGAGTGTTCCAGCAACTTCAAACCAACTGTTCACAAAAGCAAAGCGCTGATGTCTAGATCCTAGTAAGAAAAACTCAAGCATGCTGGCTGGTACAAGGCAAGCCTTGTCATCTTCTGTGCTACACGGATATGGTAGGAGTGACACACAAATCGAATGTAAGGCTGGTTTACACCTAGCAAGACTTTGACCGTAAAGAACAACATATGGAAATGCGCTTGTTCACATGAAAAGAAAAACAGGTTATCGCCCTGACTAGCAGTGCAAACAAAGCCAGCGTGAGTCTGTGTAGGCAGGTCTCAGAAGCATACTATCAGCTTCAAATTTAACACCCATCAAACAAGTGAGTTTCAGGCTGTCTGCTTCATCTTGTGTGCCGCGAGGTGAGGCCTACAGTGCAATTTGATTTTTCCTTCCTCCACTTTGCTCAGGAGGCAACCGATATAAACAAGAAAAACTGAGCTGAAACGGTGAGGCAAAATTTTTAAATGTAACAAACGCAGGAAGTCAAGTGACAACTGAAGCGACCACAGCATTAAGAACAGCCACCGAGTCTTCTAAACTCGTACACGTGCGACAGAAGGGCGATGTTTTAGCGGGCCACATCCCTTCCAACCTTAAGCTCAAGACCTGCCCCCCTCCAGGCAGGCTTCTGCCTCGGACCCTCCCGGGGGTCTAACGCGGCCTAGGCGACACAGCGGCGGCGACCCGCCCCCCTCGGCTCCCAAGCG